TGTGGGGCAAAGCCAATAGAACTGCAAGGAGAAATAGATGAATGTAATATCATAGTTGGAGACTTCAGCACTTATATCAGGAAAAGATAAAGGTGCTGAAGTCTCTTTATCAGAAATGGGCAGATTCAGCAGGCAGAAAATCGGTAAAGACATACTTGAACTCAACAGCACCATCAATCCACTTGGATATAATTGACATATATAGATGACTTCATCCAACAACAGGAAAAGACATATTCTCCGGCTCACATTCATGGGGATAGACCACATTGTGAGCCATAAGAATAGCACACTAATTAAGCTTTAACAGGGAGTGTTTAAGGTAGGGTGGACTCTGGCGCCCTCATGTGGTCCTCATGGAGGATGTGGTTTGGTTACCCCTGCTAGGTAAAGGTGCAAGAAGGGAAGTTCCAATTTGCTTTCTGTGCTTTATTCTGGTTTACATATGCTCAGATGAGATGAGTGGATGTATGATTTATATTATCTACTGTTATCTAAAATAACCTTCACGTTTGGACAGGTAACATCGAAAGTGTCCTACACAGAAATACTGGGTGAAGATCACTGCAATAAAACCAACTCCAGAAAACAAGAAAATGGCAGAGTTGACAATCCCTCTCACCCTCCCCGCAAAGACACATATATGCACATTTCTTTTGTCAGAGGCATTAAGAGAAAGAAATGCTGTCAATCTAATCACAACTGATCACAACTTGATGAAACCAAAAAATCTAGAAAGTATCATGAAGACTGTTGAAATATAGCTTTACGTTCACTACTGTGACCAGAGAAACTCATTGTGGCTGTTTTTTGTCCCTTTAGATGTCAACTAATGATTGTGTTAAGTGATCATGATTAACAGAGCATTTAAAAAGTTTATTTTATCTGTATTACATTTCAAAAATTTATATTTAGACATATAATTTATGTATTTGTGTAGATACATAACTTATAACTTTATATTTTTGAAAGTACATGCTCTTTTTTTAAACTGATAGAGGTGCCTAAGCAAAGCAAGTGCAAGTCTATTCCTTAAAGGGTAAGTGTGCAGAATGGAAAGCAGAGTGTACTTCGGGTTGACAGCTCATATTTGAACAGACATGAAAGTGATGATGTGTTAATTGTGTGTATAGCACAGAACAAATCAACTTGCTTTGAATGGAAGGTCTGAACCAGGAGTGCGTGAAATTGGGCTGAGTCATACAAGAAAAAAAACGAAAGGAGATAACAATATATGCCCACTAGAATGGCTAACATTAAAAAGATCGACCAAGCCAAGTTTTGGCAATAAAGTGGAGTAACTGGAATTATAATATATTGCTATTTGGCAGGTAAAATTACAACATTAACTTTAGAACATAGTTCAACCGTTTCTTCAAACCTTAGACACACACACTGTCGTGTTACTCAGCATTTTACAGTTAGGTTTTTACCCAAGAGAAATGAAATCATATGTCCACACAAAGACTTGTACATGAATTTTCACAGCAGTTTTGTTTGTAATAGTCAACAAGTGGAAACAATCCAAATGTCCCTCAACAAGTAAATGGATAAACTAAATTAAGATATATTTATACAATTGAATATTGCCCAGCAACAAAAGGAAACAATTTGTATATGTGCAGCAACTGAGATAGAACTCTAATTATGCTGTGTAAGGGCTAAAACATAAAAAAAAAAAAATTCTGAATGATTTCCTTTATACGATAGGACATAAATGAAGTGATTCGGGTTACATGAAATTTTAGAAAGTCAAATCAATCTGTAGTAAGAGAAAATAGGTCGAAGATTGCCAAGAGAAGGAAGTGGATGTTTGGATGTATTACAGAAGGACATGAGGGAACTGTGTAGGGGTGAAGAGTATGATGGAAATGTTTGTTGTCTTCATTTGGTGATGGTTTCGCAGGGCATCTATATAAGTAATCAAACTGTACTCTTTAAATACTCATCAATCATTGTATGTAATATATCTTAATAAAGCTATAAAAACTTTTTAAACTTATGGTAGATCTTGAGTTTATGGAGTTTATATTAATATATTTATCATAGGAACTAGCCACAAATTGAGGGATTAGTAATAAATGAGGGAAAGGAAACTATATCAAGCTTTCTTTGTTGAAGGCTCATATATTCCTTTTTTGAGCTATTATACAACTTTACTTTATATTATTACCTATACTATGCCTACACTACTATGGAGGTAGGAATATTAGGTAATTAAGGGGAAGGAACTTCTTTCTTTCCAAGAATGGTTCATTATATTTGCTTTGTTGCGTTGATCTAGTTCTAACCTCTCATTGCAAGTTTTGCTGTAATATTTACCCCTCTCAATACAGCTTTTGGTGCTAGGAGCTCCACTTGGAATCTCTTCCTTTGTCTGGCATCAATGCATAAGACACATATCAAAATTGTATTTCATACCACATATCAAATACAGGAAAGGTGAATGCATAACATTGAGAATCACAGGAAATGTTTTATTCATGTTTTTTTATATATACAGTGGTTCTCAAAGTGCTGTTATCTACCAAAATTGGCTGTGAAACTTTTTTAAAATATAAACTCCTGGGCTCTAACCCAGACCCACTAAATCAGAGATTCTGGGGACATAGCTTGGACTCTTCATTTTTTTTATAAGTAATTCTTCAATTATTTGTTCATTGCAACAAATATGCACTGAGTGCTTATAACTGAGTATTAAGCACAAGGGCTAGATATTAATTTAGAGGTACAAAAGATACATCATCATTTGCCCTCAAATTATACACATCTAATATCTTTTGAGATAAATAAATCCTTCTAAAACACACAAAGTTTGAAAAGCACAAATTGCGATAACAAACAATTACTGATATGAAAGGAAAAGGAAAGGATCCGACAGGGAATTATTATAGGGTGGGGTAGAGGGAAGTAGTTTAGATTCCAAATGCCTGAGAGGGTCAGGGAAGGCATCAGAGTAGATTGGGTGTGTTCAGGGTGGTATGGACATAGACAGGCCAGGGAAGGCTTCGATAAGAAAGTGCCATTTTAGCAGACACCTGGAGGAAGAACTGAAGTCAGAGCGAAGATAAAAGCGTGTCATACAGAGGAATGTCATAGGGAAAAAATGTGTGTCTTCAGGAAACTGAAAAAGGGGAAAGGGCCACACCTTGGTGAGGGGACCGAGTGGCACGAGATGAAGCAGGAAGCATAGACAAGGGCATCCTTGTACAAAGTCAAAAGTTGGTTCTTTTAAGTCTAATAAAATTGACCTCTGGCCTCAATCTATCCTTCAGAATTTGAATTTATTAGTGGAAGGTGTGGGAAGGAACAGAAATGAAAACAAAACAAAACAAACAAGAGATTTCCAAAACTATAGTAAAATGCTATTCTTTTCAACATATGTATCTTCTTGATTACATATTGTTTGACTCTAACTGTGATTTTTGTTGCTTTTAGCTAAATCTACAAGGCCTTAAGGGGCCTAGCTGAGTCTAGTATTTAATTTGAAATATCTATGAGAAAATACACGCTTCTTTATGGTAAAGTATAGCTTTAGTTGTTGAGCTTTGTTCACTCTTTGTGCTCAAGATTGACTTGGCAACAGACTTCCAACACTGGTGACTGCTACCGAGGGCCAAAGAGGAGATCTGTACTCCCACTGAATCTGAGTGCCCACTGAGCATGAAGGTGGATGGTAGAATGCATGAGTGTAGCTTGTCACAAGAAAGTATGATAAATGAGAATGGTAGAGACGAAGCTACACCACACGCACTTACTGATTAACTAAGATTAGAAGCTGTGAATTGCAGCTTCCCGTTTAGTGAAAGATGATATAAATAGTTTAGTTGTCTTCAAACTAGCAGAGACTTTTTAAATGGATGGGTACTGATTTTTTTTTTAAGCCCATTTCTAAGGCATCTTTTAAAGCAGGTGTCCTCAACCCCTGGGGCATGAACCGGTACTGTCCGGTGGCCCGTTAGGAACTGGGCAGAACGGTAGGAGGTGAGCAGCCAAGCATTACTGCCTGAGCTCCACCTCCTGTCAGATCAGTGGCAGCATTAGATTCTCATAGGAGCAGAACCCCTATTGTGAACTGTGCATACGAGGGATCTAGGTTGCATGCTCCCTGTGAGAACCTAATGCCTGATGATCTGGGTGAAACAGTTCCATCTCAAAACCATTCCCCTGCACCCTCCATTCCAGGAAAAATTGTCTTCCACAAAATGAGTCTCAGGTGCCAAAAAGGTTGGGGACCAAAGTTCTAAAGGAATCAATCTCTTTGCTATTATTGTTACTATTATTATTGTTAAGATGGAGTCTTGCTCTGTCACCCAGGCTGGAGTGCAGTGGCACAATCTTGGCTCTACTGCAACCTCCGCCTCCTGGGTTCAAATGATTCTCCTGCCTCAGTCTCCCAAGTAGCTTGGACTACAGGCACATGCCACCATGCTCTGCTAAGTTTTTGTACGTTTAGTAGAGACGGGGTTTCACCATCTTGGCCAAACTGGTCTTGAATTCCTGACCTCAAGTGACCCACCCACCTTGGTCTCCCAAAGTGCTGACATTACAGACATGAGCCACCACACTTAGCTCCCTTGGCTATTATTGAAGTATTCTTTTTCTTTTTTGATCACATCTATGCAGTATATTGGAGAGAAAGAGGAAGTAGAGTGGGAATTTCAACAGGGCATAGTGGCTCACACCTGTAATCCCAGGACTTTGGGAGGCAGAGGTGGGCAGATCACCTGAGGTCAGGAGTTTGAGACCAGCCTGGCCAACACGGTAAAACCTCATTTCTACTAAAAATTCAAAAATTGGCCGGATGTGGTCGCAGGTGCCTGTAATCCCATCTACTTGGGAGGCTGAGGCAGGGAGTATTGCCTGAACCTGTGAGGCAGAGGATGGCACCACTGCACTCCAGTCTGGGTGACAGAGGCATACTCTGTCACCAAAAAAAAAAAAAAAAAAAAAAGTCATTTCTCCATTAACTTAGATGCTGTTGTGGTCTTGATCCCCAGATCAATGCAATGCCCCAGAACAGCTTCCATTTGCCAGGCCTACCAACCTAACTGATGCATCTGAGTTTCCCGTTGGGACACATCTGAAGTATGAATGCCTCCCTGGTTATCACGGAAAACCATTTTCTATCATCTGCCTAAAAAACTCAGTCTGGACAAGTGCTAAGGACAAGTGCACACGTAAGTAACTCTGGAGTGGGAACCCCTCTGTTAGTCAAGTATCTGTAAGATCTGATTCAATTTGTTCAGATTTTGTAACTGAGTTGCATATGACAATTAGTTTGCCAAGGTGCAATACATACAAGAATTATTCTTGTAGATCATACCTTGTTACTGCTTTCAGTTCCTGGCGCCTTCATTACAAGTTTATTTCATGAGAAACAGTCATTGCAGGACATGATTGAGGGAAAATCCCCATTCACTGGGGGTCTCCCATTTTCATGACTAAAATTAAGTAATGAATGACTTGGGACAAGAAAAAGAAGTGGATTAAATAACTCAAAGATGTGACAGTTTTGGGCTTTGAGATCTTTGGATTATACCAATTGAATTGAATTACAGATAATAACAAAGTTTACGTTTTTCTGGGGGCATAGTATGAAAATGAAACAGATCTGAAAGGGAAGTTTGTTTTTGAAAGGGAGCTGATCCCGCGGCAGTCTGGTGAGTTTCCTCAAGGTAGCAAAATATGTGGAACCATCAGAACTGCGAGTGTTCCTCAGTAAGCTACAGGCAGGTTGAGACCTTATGTACTGAAAAAAAATGCAGTTTGCTCTACTTGGCTCCAAAATTCTGTTTCTTTCCTGTAGGTAAATCATGTCATAATCCTAAAGATCCTGTGAATGGCATGGTGCATGTGATCAAAGACATCCAGTTCGGATCCCAAATTAATTATTCTTGTAATAAAGGGTGAGTTGGCAGCAACATCTCTTGGTTCAAGAGTTCTAGCACAGCCATACTACCTTCTAGTCACATCTCAGAAAGGACAACTAAGCTATTACCATCTGCTCTTTAAAGGCTTCAACACAGGTGTTTAGCTCCTGACTGAAATGAACAAAGGTATGACAAAATCAGGGGGAAAATCATCTGTATCCTTGCTGGAAACCAAGGCTGTGCATATATGAAAAGTGTGGCATTCATTGGGTGAGAAGGAAGAAAATGGGGGAAGAGTATACTCAAAGCACACAAACAGCCTTAACCCAAAGTAGACATTGCTGGAGGAAGAGGAAGGCAATTGAGCAGCTGTGTGAGAGAAATCGTAATGGTAATAGCACAAATAGTTTGCTAGGGTTGCTGTAAGAGAGTACTCCAAAACAGGTGGCTTAATACAAATGAAGTTTTTGCAGTTCTGTTCTGGAGGCTGGAAGTGCAAAATCAAGGTGTTGGCAGAGCCAGAGTCATGCTCCCTCCAAAAAACCTGTAGGAATGGATCCCTCTTTGCTTCTTCCAGTTTCTGAAGCCCCAGGCCTTGGCGTGTAGCAGCAGAACTCTAGTTTCTGTCTCTGCTGTCCTCAAACGGCTGTCTTCCCTCTGTGTCCAAAGTTCTTTTTTTTTTTTTTTTTTTTAGTTAGAAACGAATTTCACCGTGTTCGCCAAGATGGTCTCAATCTCCCGATCTCGTGATCCACCCGCCTCGGCCTCCCAAAGTGCTGGGATTACAGGCATGAGCCACTGCACCCAGCCCAGAATTCCCTCTTTCAATAAGGACACCACTCATATTGGATTGGGGCCCACACTAATGACTTCATTTTAACTTGATTGCCTCTCCAAAGACCGTGTTTCCAAATAAGGTCACATTAATAGGAACTGGGGATTAAGACGTCCATATATTTCGGGGGTGAGGGGAACATAATTCTCATGCATTGCTGGTAGGAATGCAAAATGGTACCACAACTTTGAAAGATGTTTTGACAGTTTTTTATAAAAATAAACATACTCTTACCATATTATCCGGCAGTTATCCTCCTTGGTATTTATTTATCTAAAGGAATTGAAATCTCAGCTTCACACACAAAAAAATCTGCACGCAGATGTTTATAACAGCTTTATTCATAATTGCCAAAACTTGGAAGCAATCAAGATGTCCTTTAGTAAGGGAATGGATAAACTGTGGTACATCCATACAATAGAATATTATTCAATACCAAAAAGAAATGAGCTATCAAGCCATGAAGAGACATAGAGGAACCTTAAATAATGAACCTTTTTTCACTATTACTAAGGGAAAGAAGCCAATCTGAAAAGCCTATGTAGTATATGATTCCAACTATACACCATTCTGGAAAACGCAAAACTATGTAAAAAGATCAGCAGTTGCCAGGGGTTAGGGAAGAAGGGGATGAATAAGCAGAGCACAGATTTTTGAGGGTAGTGAAACTACTCTGTATGATGCCATCACAGTAGGTACATGTCATAATAAATTTATCCAAAATCATATGATGTGCAATACCAAGAGTGTACCCTAATATAAACTATGGACTTGGGGTGACCATGATGTGTCAGTGTAAGTTCATCAGTTGCAAAATTATGTACCACCCTGGTGAAGGCTGTTTATAATAGGGGAGGCTATCCATGTGTAGGAGCAGGGAGTATATAGGAAATCTCTGTATCTTCTGTTCATTATTGCTGTGAACCAAAAACTGTGCTAAAACACAAAGTCTATTTTTTTAAAACTACATAAAAGTAAATACACAAGCACATGTGCATAAACAGACACGCACACAAATGGGTACAGGTAAAACAGGAAATTTGAACAAAACTGGTGGATCGTACCTGTCTCAATATCTTGAGTTTGATGTTGCACTATTGTTTTACAAAATGTTATTATTAGAGGGCAATTGAGTAAAGTGTACCTGGGATCTCTCCGGACTATTCCCTACAACTGCATGTGAATCTGATTATCTCAAAATAAAAAGTTTTTTTTTTTAAGTTACTACTAAATTTCCAAGGGAATGGGATTCCTACCAAAGAATTGTATATTGTGAAATTAAATAATTCTAACTTAAAACAGTTCAAACTTATAGCTGGGGGAACTTTAAATTATTCTGAGCCATAAGAAGAGTGTGGCTATGCAGCCTGAGCCATGCAGCAGGCAGCTGTAACTTCTGCCTTTTTTTCCTATAAATAGTTAAAACCAAATTGCACTAGAGATAAGACCCACTCACATCACTATCCCTTTTCAAGGAGCAATAAAGTAATCTTCCTTGGAATGTAGCAATCTGTAACAAATCAAAGTGCTGTAACTATGCATGGTCCCATATGGAAAATACAATCCTGCTAAAATTTCTCTGTCTCTGCCTATGTCAGTGATACCTTACGTCCTCCACTTTGGAGTGCTGACCCCATTCATTTGGAGTTGGTGTCTTCCATGTGACTACCCTTAAGCTTTGTGCTCAAATAAACTATCCTTAAATATATTTTCTGAATCTCTTTATTTAAGGTTAACCATGTGCTAACCTAAATAATTCACAGGATTTGTTTTTTATCCTCCTTTTTTCGTAACCCATCTGCCTGGTTCAAGGCACATAGATTAAGAAGGAAAATGGAAATGGGACTAATATCCCAGGCTTCACTGTCCCTCTTTGGGCTCTGGGGAGGAGACTCCCAAAAGTCTAGACATGTTTACCCACATGCTGTGTGTGGTTTCTGATAATGAAATGATCATGGCTTTTCCTGAACCATGACTTAACTTTGTGAATCCACAACTCTCTCTTCCCCGGGAGATCCAAAAAGATAGGGTAGGATGTAAAGACTTCAATCTGTTCAAATGGATATGAGAACCCCTGGCTCTCCTTAAAATAAGTAGCATGGATTTTATCTCTCTCCCTTACTTCCTCATAAACATTCTGAATGAGAAAAGTTCAAACCATTATTTGTTCAATTACTTAATCTACTTTGGGACACAAGCTTCATAAATTAAAATATTCTTCTATCTGTTCCCCTTGATCAGCGAACATAAAGTTATCTTTTGACTCATATTTAAAATGTTCAGTACTACAACACTTAACAATAGTATGGAGGGAAAAAAATGCCAACTTAAGTTTGCACTTGCTTCACCATTCCTATCCCAACCCCCCTTATTAGAAAATCAAAAAGAACACTTGGAGAAATAACCTCAGTGAGGTCAAAATCCAGAGGAGTCTCCAGGATGTCTTGTTCCTAAGACAGACAGAAGGAGGTACAAATATAGGATTGCAGACTTGTCCACTTCATTTGTCCTTTATTTGTGTGCATGTGTGTTGGCAGCGCAATTGAGAATGCTTTCATTTTGGGTGGTATACTAGAAGGCATTAAAAAACAAAATGAGAAGTAGGAATTGAACAATGTGAACGCATGGACACAGGGAGGGGAACCTCACACACCGGGGCCTGTTGGTATGTGGGGGGCTCAGGGAGGGATAGCATTAGGAGAAATACCTAATGTAGGTGACAGGTTGATGGGTACAGCAAACCGCCATGGCACGTGTATACCTATGTAATAAAACTGCACATTCTGCACATGCACCCCAGAACTTAAAGTATAATTTTAAAAAATTAATTAATTTATAAAAACAAAATAAGTCCAGGTGCAATGGCTCCTGTCTGCAATCCCACCACGTTGGGAGGCTGAGGCAGGCGAATCACCTAGGTCAGGAGTTCAAGACCACGCTGGTCAACAGGATGAAACCCTGTCTTTACTAAAAATACAAAAATTAGCCGGGTGTGGTGGCATGCACCTGTAATCCCAGCTACTTGAGAGACTGAGGCAGGAGAATCACTTGAACCTAGGGGTTGGAGATTGCACCATTGCACAAGATCACAGCATTGCACTCCAGCCTGGGCAACAAGAGTGAAACTCTATCTCAATAATAATAATAATAATAATAATATAACCAAAATGATATTGAAGTCATTAATAATTACAACATAATAGCTACTATAATGTAACAATGTATCAAGTGTCTTCAAAAGGACCCACTGTTTTCTCACTATTCATTTGATCTCCATTTGGCACTGTTCTGTTCTTTGAATAAAGCTTTATGCCGCCAGGTTTTCCTACATATTTATAAAACAAAGTTCTCAGCTATACCAATAACCATGACTGTTATTTCATGTTGCTTCATTCCTTCATGTATAGTACTATCAAGTTTGACCCTACTCTCACTATGACTAGTTTGGCCCAACCATCTATTACAACAGAGAGCCTCAGGTGAAGTAAAATAAATGTTATAAATTCTTCAAAATTTATGGCACACTTTGAACAGTTTGAGATATACTAATTGAGAATTGCTAACTTTAACATTTTAAGTATCAATTAAGTGTTCAATTCTTTTTGATCAGCTTGGATTGCCTTTGGTTCTAGCTATGAATCATTTTCTTTCTTCTTTCTTTCTTTCTTTCTTTCTCTTTCTTCCTTTTTTCTTTCTTTCTTTCTCTTTCTTTTCTTTCTTTCTTTCTCTCTCACTCTCTCTTTCTCTCTCTCTCTCTCTCTCTCTTTCTCCCTCTCTCTCTCTCTCTCTCTTTTTTCTTTCTTACTGACAAGGTCTTGCTTTGTTGCCCAGGCTGGAGTGCAGTGGCATGATCAATACTCACTACAGCCTCAACCTCCCCAGCTCAAGCAGTCTTCCTGCCTCAACCTCCCCAGCTCAAGCAATCTTCCTGCCTCAGCCTCCTGAGTAGCGAGGACTACAGGAATGTGCCACCATGCCTGGCTTTTTAATAAAATTTTTGTAGAGACAGGGTCTCACTATGTTGCCCAGGCTTCTCTCGAACTCCTGAGCTCAAGCAATCCTCCTGTCTCAGCCCCCCAACATGCTGGGATTACAGGCATGAGCCACTGTGAATGGCCTACTTTAATGAATCTTACTGATAAAAGCCCATCCATGCATCCATACACTAATACTCACAAGGCATAGAAATACATACAACAGGACTACATACACACATACATATGTATATATATGACAGCTTCCCTGCACTCAAGAAGCTTGTGTTGTCTTTTAAGAAAATGAAAGGTATAGGAAAAACTGTAATTCATCTTTGATTTATATAAAAATATGTCATAAGGTAATAAAGAAGAGAAAGCCCACCCAACTGAGAAGGCATGGAAGAGAAAATAACAAAGTCCCAAGAATGTGCAATTTGGGAAGGTGACACATAGTTCTTTGACAAGTGGAAAATGTCCCTCTGAATTCTGTAACAGTGTAATCTCTGGAAGTAGTAATTTAATTGGATAGTTGACCTGCATCTTTGGAACCTAATATTCCTTATTTTTTGCCTCTAGATACCGACTCATTGGTTCCTCGTCCGCCACATGCATCATCTCAGACAATACTGTCATTTGGGATAATGAAACACCTATTTGTGAGAGTGAGTTGAAATATCCCTTCCTATTTCTTTTACTGACACATTCTAATTTTTCTCTGGAATAATAAAAACCTTAACCGAATTCCTTCTGTGCAATCTGTCCTTCACATGGCTGAAGACAGCCGTAATGTTCTCGAATATTCCTACGGCGTTCCTGGCAACCCTTTCCTTAAGTTCTTCCTTATCCTGGGATGTGTCTTTTCTAATTCTGGGGGCTTAAATACATAAAATCCTTCAAACTTGATTCTACTTCAATAAATTTGAAATTATGGTGGTTCTACCACCTCCAGTATAATAATCATCCTGCTTGGCGAATCAGTAAAGATTTTTAACATTTATGCTCTTCAAGGTTAGTGAAGCTGTGGAAGAACCTGGACTCTCACGCATCACGAGGTCAACACATCCTCTCGAAAGGCACCATGCACTATTAACCTCAGAAGTGGGCATATATTTTAACCTACTTCTTAGAATTTATACTTATGAAATAATCACACACTTTTTAAAGCAGTTTGGTATAAACTTTTCATTGCAGCATCATTTATATTAGTTAAAATCTTAGAGCAACCTAAATATTTTAAACTATGGTTTGGAAATAATCTACTAGGAGGAAAAAGATGTGTTCAAATGACCACTATAAAGAATTCCCGAAGAAACATAAAATAGCTACGCAGAATGGAAAAAAGTATATCCATACACTGGCATAGTATTCAGTCATAAAAAAATGATAGCATAAAGAAGCACTTAATGACTAGAAAGAGATGTGTTTTATGTGGGAAAAGAATCAGATGAACAGCATGTATGGCAAGATCTCATTTTATTAAAAAGTAATACACCTATGTAGTGGAGGGCCAGGCTGACGCTCAGTGAAATATAGTGTATAACATCTTTGTCTTACTGTTCTCTTTAGATAACTTGAAGACTTTACTTTTCTTCTTGGTATTTAAAAATGTTGTTCCTTTTACTAGAAAGTTTATGAGCTTCAGAATCTAAATTTACAAATGACATTGGTCACACATTTGTCTCTGTTTATCCACTTTAAGAAACAGTTTTGCTGTTTTGTAAAACAAATTGGGAAACCTTCCATGTTATTTGAAATCTATAATAAGATAACATGGAATTGGAATAGGAATTTTCTTGGAAATATGAAAAAATAGTAAAATAGAGAAAACAAAAAATATAAAAATACACCTATACCTATATTTATGTTTTTATCTCTGTTTCTAGTTCTGTAAACTCTCTATATCTAAATCCTGGTAAATGACTTCAAGTCTTCTTGGAGAAGCCTAGGGGAAGATTTACAATACATGCTTTTGACTGTGTAGCAGGTGCTTCCTCAAAAGAATCCAGTCTCCCATCCATTCGTGCTGCTCTGGGTCTATAAACTGTTCAAGTCTAGGAATTGTTGATGAACAATGAACTTCTTTTACAATAATTCAAGTCAGACTTCTATTCACTTGACCTAAATCTCTTCTGCTTATACAAATCAAATAACACTTTAGTCGGCTATCCATCTACTTCGGTTTTAGAGACTCCATGATCAATTAGCCCAGTAACAATATTCTCTTCAGTCAAATCATTCTGATTGCTGTTTCGGCTCTAATATCCATTACAAGAACCCCCATTGTCTCTGGCAATTAAGTGCTGCCACTTGGACTCTGCCACCCTGAGGTCCTTTGGTCCCCAAGTGAATTCAGAGAACCCAGTTCAATGGCAACAGTTCCCATTGTCGTTCCTGCCCCACAGAGAATGAGCCATCACAGAGGATGCTGAAACTCCCCATGTGAATGTATTCCTCAAGCCTCTGGTAAAAGGTCTATCTTCTGAACCCTCCACTCCTGCACTGTGCCTCACCAGCTCTATCCAAAGATGACCTTCAGAGTGGAATGGCTGTTGCTTAACTTCTGCCTCTCAAATATCAGGCTAATTTCTCATGCTGTAACCCTAGTCCAGAACCATATAGAGAAACTAAGTCTGGAAAACTTAATTCCAAATTGGCCTGGTTGACGCTATATAAAACCCCCAGATAATTATAATTTTATTTAACTCTTTGTCTTCTTTTCTTTCCTTCCCTCCTTCCCTTCTGCCTGCCTGCCTTCCTTCTTTGCTTCCTTTCTTTCTCCCTCCCTCCCTCCTTCCCTCCCTCCCTCCCTCCTTCCCTCCCTCCCTCCCTCCTTCCCTCCCTTCCTCCCTTCCTTCCTCCCTCCCTTCCTTCCCTCCTTCCCTGCTTTCCTTCTTCCTTATTTTCTTTCTTCTTTACCACATGGCTAGGACCACCAGTATAACATTGAACATTGGTAGCAATAGGTGTCATCCTTGTCTTGTTCCACATCTCAAAGGGAAAGATTAAAACATTTCACCATTAATCTGGTATTTACTGTAGGCTTTTTGTAGATAATCATTTTTGAATTAAGGACATTCTCACATATTCTCCATTATTAAAAGTTTTTTGTCTTTGAATCATGTTGAAGTTTATCAAACACTTCAGTTACATGTATCGATGTAATTATATCTGTTTCTCTTTTTTCTGTTAATGTAACAAACTGTTTTTAGTACATTTTTGAAAGGCAAATAATTTTGAATTTCAATTTTACATTCTTAAAATAAACCAATTTGGTCATAATATTTAATCATTTTTATATATGACAAATATGCTTTAATAGCACATTTTAGATGTTTCTATTAAAGTATAATCCATGTATCATAAAAGTTACCTTTTTTAATTACACAGTTCAGTAGTATTTAGTATATTCACAAAGTTGTATGTTATGGCCTGAATGTTCGAGTCTACCCCAGATCCATATGTCGAAATCCTTACCCCCAAGGTGATGACATTAAGGAGTGAGGCCTTTGGAAGGTGATAAGATCATGAGAGCAGAGCTGTCACGAATGGGATTAGTGTCCTAATAAGAGAGGCCCAGAAGAGCTCCTCTGCCCCTCCTGCCATGGGAGGAAATGCTGAATCTGCCAGAGAGGTTGGTCCTGAACTCCTTAGCCTCCACAACTAAAAGAAATAAATTTCTGTTGTGTACGAGCTAATCAGTTTATACTATTTCGTTATAGCTGCCCAAATAGACTAAGACATTGGGCAACCAGCACTGCCAATTAATTCCAGAACACTTTCTTCATTCCATTCCTATTTTAGAGATTAGACTGTAACTTTTTTTCTTGTAATGTCCTTTTAAGATTTTGACATCAAACTTATGACAGTCTCATAAAGCCAGCTGGTAGTGTTTCATGTATTTGTTTCCTTGAAAGAGTTTATATAAAATTGGTATTCTCTCTTCTTTAAATGTTTAAAAGAATTCACCAGAAAAGCCCTGGAGTTTACTTTGTTGGGAGGTCTTTTTTTTCCAACAATTTTCCTGTACCATGTAGACTTTTTGCTGAAGTATAACATATACGCAGTAAAGTGCATACATCTTAATTATGCAGTTCAATGGTTATTTACGAATTAAATGCATCCATGTAAATGACACTCAGATTGAGATATAGAACACTATCAGCACCCCAGAAGCCTTCTCGATGCCTTTTCCCAGTTATCTTCCCAAAGTAACCATTATTCTGATTTATTACATTAATAATTAGTTTTGCCACTTCCTAAGTTTTATAAAGGAATCAAAAAATAGGTACTCTTTTGTGTCCGGCTTCTGCTCAGTGTTATATTTGGAAGTCACTTTTGTTGCTGCATGAAGGATTGTCGGATTTTTTTTATTATTATGTTGTATTTCATTGATGATCTTGAGTACCTTTTCATATGTTTGTGAAGTGCCTATTCCAAACTTCTGGCTGTTATTGACTAGTTTGTCTATCATTTTATTGTTTTGTAGAAGTTATTTAAATATTCTCATGTTTTCTAATAAATGGAACACAAATGTTGTCTTTCAGACTATGGCTTTTCTTTTTCTTTTTCCATTCTTAATGATGTCTTTTGTTGTAGGAAGTTCTACAATTTAATAATATTCAATTTATGGGTCTTTTTTCCAAGTTACTGCTTTTTCTATTCTACTTAGGCAATTGGGCCAGGTGAGGTGGCTTACGTCTATAATCCCAGCACTTTGGGAGGCCAAGGGAGGAGGATTGCTTGAAGCCAGGAGTTCAAGACCAGCCTGGGTAACAAAGCAAGATCCTGTCTCTACAAAAAATAAAATAAAATTAGCTGGGCTCAGTGGCACATGCCTATAGTCCCAGCAACTTGGGAGCCTGAGGTGGGAGGATCCCTTGAGTACAGGGGTTCAAGGCTTCAGTGAGTTACGGTGGTGCCACTGCACTCCAGCCTAGGTGACAGAGTGAGACCCTGTTTCTTATGGATAGGTACTTGATCTAGTATCATTTATTAAATGTGGCACCATGGCCATAAGTCAGGTGACCTTATATGTGGCTCTCATTCCAGGGAGGTTCTGTTCCATTGGTTTATTTACCATACATTGTGTTTTTGTTTTGGTTTGGTTTTTTGCCATACTATAATGGCAAAAAACCAAAACAAAACAAAACAAAACTGCAGCATTACATTAAGATTTTAATTACTATCACATTACATTAAGATTTGATATCTGGTGGCATATATCTTCTAACTATGTACATCTTCAAGATTTACTTGGTGATTCTTGGCACTTCGCATTACCATATGAAATTTAGAATCAGCTTGCCAATTTCCACATAAAGAATCCTACTTGAATTTGTATTGAGTTTCTGTTGACTCAGTACATCAATTTGTGGACATTAACAAATTTACAGTTTTGAAGTTTAAATTTATGAACATGATATATCCTCCCATTTTCGAAGTCTTCTCTAATTTCTTGTAATAATATTTGTTAATTTACCTTATAGAAGTCATGTACATCTTTCATTATCTTTATTACTACATATTATTTTTAAAATTTTATTCTCTATTTACTTCTTAGATATGCACCTGTTTCATCTCAGCTCCAGCAATTTTATTAAATTTACTTTTAAATTGAATAGTTTTTCTGTATTTTTTTAAATTTGCTGCATAATTTTGTCAT